GCGCTGGGGGGCGGGGGGGGAGGCGGTGGCCGCCCCCCGGGTTGCCTTGATTTCGCGGCGGGCCTCCGGGGCGAGCCAGGTCGGTTTGGCAGCCCTCGTTCTGTTTACGGGCGTGGGCTTCTATTGTCAGTACTCAGCCCCTCCTTCAAAGCCCCTTCAACCGCTTCCACGCGAGTTTTCCTTTTCTTTCGGATCTTGTTCAGACGAACGGCTTGCCCAGGAACCCACTAGAGCAGCATTTCCCAGCCCTGGCAACTTTAAGATGTGGGGACTTCAACTCCCAGAATTCCAAGGCTGGGAAACACCACACTCGAGTGCTGTTGGCGAGTCTGACCTGCTTCTGTACTGTACAGAGCTCTTCCTTTAAAAAATAGCTCCCTCCTAGTGATCTAAATAATAGAATGTCAAGAATTTATAGTTCTATCATATAAATATCATTGTACTGAAATAACATAATGTATCAAGATGTATGAGGACACAAAGAGGAAAAAAATAGAATTACAAAATAGCTCCTTCCTCAGTTTTGATATGAATAACTGCTAGTGGAAGTGAAGAGTGAAGGTGTTCATCTGGAAAGAACCCATTGAAATTAGTGGGTTTGGTTTTGAGGATAGGGTGGTGCTGTAGAGCTAGGGAAGATGTTTCTCCTGGCAAGTCTAGAGGGGGCAGAAGTGCCTGAGCAAAGTAGCAAAAAATAAAGACTTTTTTTTGTTTTGTTTTTGAGCTCTGCTCCACTCCTGATGAATGTACCAGTTTTGTACCCATGAGTTACCATGGTAACAGTGAAGCTGTATGGGGAAGGTTAAGCATTCTTTAATTTAAAAAAAAAACTGCCTTGGAAAACAGTTTAGTTAAGCTGTCATCTTCTTCCAGGGCTATTCAGAATCACCAGACTTTGAGTTTGAATATGCAGATGCCGACAAGTGGACCGCTGAGCTCTCAGGTAAAGCACGAATTGCTTGAGTTCCTTTGCTTAAGTTTGACATAGTTTCCTTTCAGTGACCCACTTAACACAAAAGTCAAACCAGTTGCTATAATTTGTAGGTCTCAATAGGGCTTCAGATTCAAAGGGGACAAGGTTAGGCATGTGTGTAAGCAGCTGTCAGCAACTTGGTAAACCAGACATGACTTCCTGAATCATGGTATAGCTCAGCGTTGCTGACAGGTGCAGCAGGAGTGTGCCCGTCCACTCCTTTGAACCTGAAATGTGGAGCAGCCTATTAATTTCCACTTCCACTTTCTGTGTTATTAACTTTGCATATTTTTTGTGAGGACTGCTCTATAAGGCCAGTTTATAAGGCTTTAATGTGGAAGTAGCATTCACGTGAAAGGTGTCAGTTGACATTTTTTTATTTCTTTTGTATCTTTTAAGTTGTACATTCCAACTGTCAAGTCTCTTAACTGCAGAACATGCAGTCAAGGAAGCAAGACTTACACCAATGTTATTTAATGCCAAGAACAAGGAGTTATAGAATACAGAATATTCTGTATTCTATATCTGAGAAACAAGATAGGAATCCTCCAGCCCCCCTTTATTAGTGAGTCCATTAGGATGGGTGTCTCTTTGAAGAATTTGAATCTCTTTTTCCCAGAATGTTTGCTTGATGGACTGAGTCCACTTATTTGATATGCCTGTAAAGAAATCTGTCTGCTGATGGTTTATGTTTAAGGTATTCTCTTCTTTGTTTTTCAGCCTTGGCAAAGTCTCCTAGTCACTTCTGCTAAATGTTTCTGCTTCTGAATATTAGTCAATATTCTTAATATTAGTCAATTAGTTAATATTCTGTGATATTCTGTGAGTTGCTGGTAGGAGATCATCTGAATTGATTCCTCTAGCCCCCAATCTAGTCTTATGTATTCAGACTTTACAGTACCTCCATAAAAGGGAAATATGTTGTCTCCAGACATAATACATAAACACACTCTGTTTATGTAGCTAAAGTTGACGGTTAGAACTGAATATCTAAACTGTTATTAAATATTGGCTGTTAACCAACATGTGAAGCCATTGTTTAAAATCTGTTTTCAAATCATGCTTTGTGTTATCGATGGTGGATCAGCACCTTCTTTTCCTGCCTATTTGCTTGTAGGATGTTGAACAGAATTCTCTGGGATGATGCACCCTAGCAGGGCCCAGCTAAGCTTGGTAAAACTAAACTTTGACAACAGTTCAAGATTGCAAGTTATCTTTCAATGTTAAACTCTTACAATGGATGATAGACTTGATATAAAATGAACTGCCAAGAGTCAATTCTATTTGAAATAAATAAATGTCTAGCATCATAAAGTAGTGTGTTTGTGTTCTCTCTTTGCAGAACTGTACAGTTATACAGAAGGTCCTGAATTCCAGCTCAACAGAAAATGCTTTGAGGAGGATTTTAGACTGCATGGTAAGACTATCACTTTTTCTCCCAATGGAATATCTTGTAGGCTTGGTCTGTATGTGCTGTATTTGAAATGGGATTAAACAAGAGAGGGTTGATTATTTTAGTATCAAGTATGTTTTTATTTGTTTTCATGAGTCTTTGATTTTCTTTTAACAAAATCTTGATATATTTGTGTTTTAAATAAATCATAATTCACCCCAGGGTTTGGGGAGTGCAGTGAGATGTATGTAGATAAATAAAATGGCTAGATCACTCAGTATGGAATGCTTATTGGTGATTTTTCTTGTGGAAGGGAGTGGCATTTCTGAAACTGAACTGTCAACCACTAATTCATTCTTTGTGATCTGTAATGTTTAGGGTGAGATAGAAGTTTCTTGTTTGGTTAACATTTGATGTTAAAACTTGGCAATAATGTGAATGGCATATTTATTCATTAGCCTGTGGATAATGTTAAATTATACCAGTTCAGGTCTTTGCTAGCTTCTGGCTATGTTCATGTATTATAAATACATTATGAACTAAATGTTGTTGATAGTGCTAAAAACAGTGTAGCCCAAGGATTAGCAGCATGGCACCTATGACATAAGACCTTGTTATACCATAAAGTTTGAAGCTGACCAAAATTAAATTAAAAATTAAAAACTAGTTTCATTAATTACAGTTGGCCAGAATCTTGTAAGATCACAAAATCTCATTATAAATAAGATGTCACAACGTTTCATTGATGTTACATAAGATGGTTGAGAACTTGAGAGAAATAGTTGAAAGCTCATAAGATTGCAACCCCTTTTTTAAGGCTATTGCACAAGATTATGTTGAGTTTTTTATGCTGCTAAAAGTTACTTTTTTAAAAAAAATAGTTGAAAGCTCATAAGATTGCAACCCCTTTTTTAAGGCTATTGCACAAGATTATGTTGAGTTTTTTATGCTGCTAAAAGTTACTTTTTTTAAAAAAAAAAGGGGGGGGTACATAGCTGTATTATAATTTCAAATGACTTGTCTTTCCAGTGTTGGATAAGAAGTGGACAGAACTGGACACTAAGCAGCATCGTACTCATGCCATGAGACTTCTTGATGGCCTTGAGGTCACAGCTCGGGAGAAAAGGCTCAGGGTAGCTCGAGCTATCCTCTATGTTGCACAAGGTATGCCTGTTTCTTTCAGAGAAACTGCTTAGTCTTAAATATCTGCTAATTATGAACATGGTGATTTTAATAGAATTTTTTTCACACCAATGTTTCTTTTAATAACAACAAAAAATGCTGTCAAAACTAGCAAAGCTTATTTATTGGTATTTATCCTAAATACCAAAAAATATATATTTCCATTCAGCACAGTAATTGGATTACTGGGCTAGTTTCATTTTTGTTCTTAGCTGTTAGGACTGGATTCTAGAAATACAGTCACTTTGATAACAGACCAAAAGTAGTAAAAATCTATCTTTGTGCCTGAACTTTGGGTGCAAAAAGACTTTTCAATTTTTTACTGTCAAGCTCTCTGTGGTTTCTAGTTGGTTGTGTAATAATGAACACAGAAGCATTATCTTGCTTTAATCCCAACAGAGGTTCATCTGTATATTGTCCACGGGGAGTCAGTATAATCAAAACTTCTCAACACTCATGTTTTATTATGCAATTCTATAACATTTTCCAGCTTGGTCCTAGAAATGGTTTGTAATGGCTGTGATTCCAGATATTTTGGGAAAATTGATATTATAATTTCTGTATTAATATTATTTTACATTTCTTTTATTATTTGAATTTGTAGCCTAGTGTGATCTAACAAGGGCCATCTTTTCTGAAATAAATCATTTTTACATTTCAGGCACATTTGATGAGTGTAGTTCAGAAGCTGAGGTTCAGTCTTGGATGCGATACAACATTTTTCTTCTGCTTGAAGTTGGGACATTCAATGCTTTGGTGGAACTTTTGAACATGGAAATTGAGTGAGTTTCATGTTGCCACAGTATGGGCCTCTGCAAAGAACGCAGGCTGTTTAGATAGCCTAGTTATGATCTGCTCACCAGGATATATATTTTTACAGCTTGTGAAGGATAATCAGATGCCAAACTTAGCCTGTTATCCATCCATCCAGTTTTATATGATTATTTCATAGAAAACTACTGATTTGAAACAATATCAAGCCTATAATTTAAAAAAATATAGTAGGCAGTGCTACAAGTATTTTCATCTCCCTTTCTGCTTGTTACCTTTAATATAGGACAAAGAAAAATTATCTGGAATTGATCATTTTTGAGGCTATCTTTTGTGACCTTGCCAGCAAGAAACTAATCTGGACCAATTAAAAAAAACAACCCTTCTGCTAAAATGAATATTTGTGCATGTCCTTTGTTTAAAATTGAGAGGAAATAAAGGCTGAAAACAGGCTGTCTGGATGTGGGAATCTTTTAATTTTATTATCTCCACACACAACATACAGGTAGTCCTTGGGTTATGACCACTCGTCCACTGACCGTTCAAAGTTATGACGGCACTGAACGTGGGGGACCAGTCCTCGAAGTTGAGGCCATCACAGCATCCCATAATCATAATTCAGGCACTTGGCAACTGGCTCACAGTTACGATGGTTGCAGCATCCCACAGTCATATGATTGTTATTTGCAACCTTCCGTGCTGGCTTCCCACAAGCAAAGTCAATGGAAAAGCTGGCAGGAGATTGCAAGTTGCTCCCATGCCTGCTGTTTTTTCTCCCAAGGAACCCCCAGGCGACATGGGGATCTTGCACTCTGTAGCACTTGTACTCTGTAGCACAGGCCTGTCCATAGCTCTCGCTGCAGCCTCCTTCCCTGGGACACGGTTTCACTGCCTCTTCCCACGTTGCAGTAATGTAAGGTCCTCGCCTAGTGACCCGCACAGTCCTTGCTTAAAGACAGCAACAGGGACTGCCGGGATTGCCGTCACTAAGCAACGCAGTCACATGACGTCATGCTTTACAACTGCATCGCTTAGTGATGGAAATTCTGGTCCCAATTGCTGTAGTAACCCGAGGGCCATCTGTATAGTTTTGAACAGGGAGATGTATGAAGTTTTATTTAATTTCCAGGAGAGATAGTCTGCCTGTTCTGTCATAGGTATGTCTGGAACTGAGCTCACAGTACTACAGAACGAGGACAGTTGAGAGGACAAAAGAAGTGAACAAATCTAATTCAGTTACTCAGAGCCCTGTTTTTGCATTAGTAGGATCAAACATGTTCCTAACTGATTATCTAAAAAGTAACTAGAAGTTGCTACTGAATTTCTACCAATTTCATACTATGGAGCAGAAAAGAACATATCTAACTGCTGTTAGATAAGAGAGGGAATTAGAAGAGGATGAATGCCCTTGCAGAGCACTGTCAGTATGCCCACCGTACCCATGTTGCTTTAATCCCATAGTTTGTCTAATATCCAGTGTGACATTAGTTTCAGAAGGTGTGGCCTAGAAAACAGAAGTTTCTTCCTCTTTTTCCAGTAACAGCGCTGCCTGTAGCAGTGCAGTGAGGAAGCCTGCTATCTCCCTGGCTGACAGCACAGATTTGAGGTGAGTAATATTAAAGTATACAATATTAGCAAACTGAGATTTTCCTTGACAACAACTTGTATTGGTAAGAATGCTTTTCTTTTTTTTTTACCCCATGTTCAAGTTATATATTCTTACTAATAAAACCTGATTTTCATATTGACATAATGTATTGCATGTCTTTATTGGGGCAGTGAAGGAGAGAAATCAAATAAGGTCAGATACTGAATAGAAGATGCTTAAAGTGAATACTCAGTACTAGCATGCATCAATATCTGTGTCCTCATCTGTGTTGGATTCACTATTATTTTATAATGGTCTGATCTCCCAGAAGATAGTACAAAACTTTAAATCACACAGCTTGGTGAATGCTGCTCCTGAGCCCCATTTTTGTGGGCACAGAATCTCCCCAAACCACCAAATTACAGCGGTGTAGTTTCCCAGCATTTTTTGGTGGGAAACAAACAGAAATAGATGTGTTTAAGCCTCCAACTTCTTAATATATCTTAATACACTTAATGTTAAAAATATTGCCACAATTTAGATGACAAGGGTGGGCTGAATTCAAGCTGTGGCTTCTTCAGAGACATTGTTATGTCCACCATAGCCATCTGCTGGTGAAAATGTCCATTTAAAAAAGGGCAACATGATTATAAAAAAAGCCTAGCACACCCTTAGTTTATGTAGGGACCTTTTCTGTAAAGAGTGCATTTTTCTTAGAAAAGTATAGGTTGCTAAGCAATAGTCATCCTCAAAATAATGACATGGACCAAAAATAAAATGTTTAGCTATTATCGTAAAATTTGTTGTTTTTTGCCTTGACTTCTTTTTGCCTTGACGTCATCCATGGGAACATTATGAGGGAATACTTTGCTTGGATGGCTAAATTACTTTGCTTATTGTTTGCAAAGTAATTTTGAATGAAGCAAACAGTCTTGTCAGGAATTTCCCCTTCTAACCTGCTCAGTCTTTGCAATTCCTTTGCAGGGTGCTTCTGAACATTATGTACCTCATTCTGGAGACTGTCCGTCAGGACTGCGAAGGAGATAAGCCTGAGTGGAAGACAATGCGGCAGACCTTCAGAGCAGAGCTAGGTATGTCTTTTCATCTTGCTCATGATTTAGCTAGAATTTAGCTCATTAAACAGCATTTGCTCAAAAAGATGGGCTATTTTGTTGTAAGAAAAGGCTGTTCTAATACGGGAAGAAACCTTTTTTTCCTTTTGGACTAATCAGTGCTGCCAGATAGTCAGAGTCAGCATCCCTCCACTGTTTAATAAGGCAGGTCTTTATTGGAATGTGAGGTTTATTCCTAAGATCTCGGCTCATGATTGCTTCTGCTATGTCTCTCCTTCTCCATTGCCCTTTACAGTCACTATCATTGTTGTCTGCCCTGCTTGCCTCAGCCCATCAGGTATGCTTCTTATTTGGACTGTGCACAGAGAAAAAGTCATCAACAGCCATGTTTACCTCAAAGCTTCTCTTCATCCTCCTCTCTGATGGGGTTCCAGGGGACTGATGGACAAAGTTTAATTGGCAGTTTTCAGGCAGTTTTGATCTTTTGAATCCCTTCAGAGATCATTGAAGCTTCAATGCTGAAGATGTTGTATTATTATTATTATTATTATTATTAATAATAATAATAATAATAATAATAATAATAATAATAATATCCAGAACACCTTTAAAGGCTGCCAGATTTACAGTACAGTCTTACACATGTCTACTCACAGATCAATGTTATTGAGTTAAGTGAGATTTACTCCAGGGTGCAGCAGAGTCAGGACTTTAACCTTCTTGAACACAGTGGCCTGTGTCTCACATCACATTAAACCATTGTTTGATTAACTATCATTTGTTGAATAAACTATAGCCAGCTAGTAATACAATACCCTGAACCAGAATCAAACAAACCATTATGGCTTTGCCTAACATGTGAAGCCAACCAGTGTGGCTTTAAAAATCTGGCTTGGATCTGCTTTTAATCCTAATTTTCTTATGGGGAGCTGAGGCTTCAATTTGCATATGTAACATAGGAACATGAGAGGTTGCCTTCTATTGTGTTCCCACTTCTCGGCTAGTATTGCTTACTGTAGTCCAGTATGCTAATCCACTCTGATGGGCACTGGCTCTTGAAAGCCTCAGGCTGGAAGAAAGATTTTTTCCTTGCTTTCTACATAATTATTCTGAATGGGGTTCAGCTTGGTTCTTCAGTGTGCAAAGCATAATGGGGTAGGTAGAATGTTAATCTAGTTCAGGGCAGTTCTAGGTTCAGTTCTCCAATAACTCTATAATTATGTATATAGTCTTTTTATCTAGTATGATCTTTTTAAACTAATTTAATATGAATATTTATATTTTTTTACTGTTTTTGATATTTGATTTTAATTGTGAGCCACCCAGAGTCACCCTTTGAGGGAGATGAGTGGCATATAAATTTAATAATAATAATAATAATAGAACATAGTTCATTGGATTCAGTTTGATTTAACTCACAGAGATATTGTCTGTGTTCACACAACACAGTGAATCACAGACTAGCCAAATTTTAGCCTAATATGTTGTGTGACCCTACCTATAGTCCAGTGGGTTATGTTGTAATTATAGATACCTACACTGAACAAGAGTCTCAACTAAATGATCTCCAAGCTTCCATTGAACTTTAACATTTTGACTGAATTCATACATCACCTTAAGCCATGGTTTGCTTATTAAACAGTAGTCTTTAGAATGATGACTGAGCTAAGTCTTTGACTCCTGACACTACAGGGCAAATCACTTTTTAATTTACTCTTGGGAGAAACTAGAACATCTGTGTGAGGAGTTGTAGAGCTTTAATGGTTGATGGTATTTGCTGCATCACGTGATATAATACATACAAATACTGAGTTCTGAGTTTTGATGCTGGCATCTGCCTTCTAGCTTCTCAGGGAATAATACTGCACACATCTGATAAAGCAGATAAGGAGACATGTTTTTCCATGAGGGCCTTGATTCCTTCTACTCCCCAGAATTATTGTGTCCGCTGGGGGCGGCATCAAAACAGGCAAGGTGGGGAAAACAGTGTGGTGATGATGCAACTCCCACTCTTTTCTGTATCCAAAACCACCACCCACACATAGAAGCTGCTGCATGCTCTCACAAATCGAGAATGTGGGTAGAAGGATGAACCTTGATGCATGGAGACTGCCTGCACTAATTACACTACTAGAGTTAAATGAACAGCATCATTGCAAATATGAATTTATTATTTAACTGGCCAAAAAACTATGTACAAGAACACAAAATGAGCAGAAAATTATTATGAAAAAATGTGGCAAATCAGCTGGAAGCTTTATTGTAGAGAATGATGTTCAAATACTTGAAGCAAAAATTCAGAGATTTCATGTAACATGCTTATTACCAACATACTGTTTTTCAGGGGCGCCTCTATATAACAATGAGCCATTTTCTGTGATGCTCTTTGGCATGGTGACCAAATTCTGCAGTGGCCATGCCCCACACTTTCCTATGAAGAAAGTTTTGCTGCTGCTCTGGAAGACTGTCCTGGTAAGAGGCTCCTGTCTGCAAATATGTGATGCTTTAGCAAGTTGCTTCTAATACAGAATCTAAACTGGATTATACAGACTGGTTTGTTATTGTTGGTTTATTTAAAGGATTTATATGGCCAACCAACTCTCAAAAGTGTGACTCCAGATGGCATGTAATAATAAAAACAGAATTACTATGTCCCCAATGACAAAAACAACCAATTTGTTATAGTTTTAGACTGGTAATTGGTACAATGCTAAACTGATGGCAATATTGTACTTTAAAGCTACAGAGCATACTTAGATCTAAAGTCATTTTTACTATAGCATGTTATTATAATTAAACAATAAGTGTAAGCCATTGTGAGGTTGTCCAAATACTCCATTTGTATGTTCCTTATCCTAGATCAAAATAACTACAACCAATGGAAGTTCTCACATTATCACACCCTCTTTATGAGTGCTCAGACTCATGTGATTGGAGTGGTATATAAATTCTGTTAATAAATAAAATAAACACTGTGTAATGCATCTATTAACTACAAACATTGATAACTGAGGCAAGATCCTGAACAATGGCTAGAAAAATATCTCTGTTCTGTATCATAGTGAGAGAAATAAGCAGATACTTATTTTTAATAGTATATCTGGCCTATAACCATATTCTCTAGGTAAATACAACATTAAAGCATAATATACAATAATAAAGCTATTAAATTTGAAAACAGTTCCACTGTGATGCCTTGGGCTTATTCTATTCCTTCCACTGAATTAAATTACAGCCGTACTATTGCCAAGACTGTTATGTATTCCTGGAACAATGCTGCTGCTGCTTTCCTATGTTCACTGCATAACCAGACACCTCCTGACTACCAATTGCCTGAGAAAAAGCAGGTGGTGTCATGGAACTAAACCTGCAAACTTCAAGCTGCCATTGACATTTTAACTAATTTAGTAGATGAAATTGCTGTAAATATAAAATGAGACCACTGATTCATTTTATTACAATTTGCCAATGTATGTTGTTAACAAAAGACAATACATATTCATTTGGCTAGCATATATATTTTATGAAGAATTTCAGTTTAGATAGGGATTGTAGGTGAAACACACTTGGTGAGATCAGTGTAGCCCAAGTTTAATGCATAGTTAAGACTTCCTTCATAGCCTTCCATAGCAGCCATGCTGCTACCAGTTCAGCCATCTGCTGGAAAGTGCTGTGGCACTGGTGAAGAGAACTTCCCCATATAATAGTTTTCATTCTCCAGCAATAATCAGTTCTTCAATGAACTGTTGGAGGGCTCTTTCTCATATTGTAGCAGGGCTGTTATGGGCAGAGGGATAGCTTCATTCCTTCATCATTCCTAAATATCTTATTTCAGTTGCTGCCTGCCTTTCCAGGAATCCTATTCATTAACAGATAGAAAGCAGCCGCTGTAAGCTGAATCCTTGGGTGAGAGGGTCAATTCCTTCCCATACAACAGTCTTTAAAAGTTAATTGGAAGGGGGGCTGTGAAACAGATTGAGTGCTAGCTACAGCCCTTTAGACAGAGAAGTTGGTCATTCTGGTTTAAATTCTGAAAAGATCAGCCCATTCCGTTACTTCCGTCTTTTAATTTCGTCTTCTTCTTAATTAAGTACACATAATTATTTCTAAACATTGCCTAGAAAAATCACAACACTGGGGACAATAAATTAATTTCAAGTGAATTATTGTAATACATAACTGAACAAGACCACAAGTTATAAAAGCATGGTAGAATTACATACACACAAAAAAATTTCAAAGATCTTGATACTCCACTAGCTGACTGGCAGCTGAGGAATAAATCACAAGTTCGGTATGTTTGCTATCCTATATAGTGTACCCTTGGAGGATTTGAGGAGCTTCAGGATATGAAAGCAGAGAAACGAGAGATGCTGGGTCTTCCCCCACTTCCTGAGGATAGTATAAAAGTGATCCGCAACATGAGAGCTGCCTCTCCTCCAGCATCGGCTTCTGATTTGATTGAGCAGCAGCAGAAACGGGGTCGACGGGAACACAAGGTGAGTCTTTGAACCAGAAGGTTTAGCAACTTCCAGATAGGTATGGCAAACTGAAGATGGCTCTTTGAAAGCAGAGCCGACAACCATGGCAAAAACCAAGGAACCAGTGAGTAGACTAGTTCCTTGGAACCTCTCTGGATAAAGAGAGGACAGGAGATTGCCCACATGTGCTCCAGATGGCTGCTCCTCATAAGGAGACCACAGGACATTAGTTTTCTGCAGGTTATAACAGGATCAGCCATCTTGCTTGCAACTGCGGTGGAGCCTTTTAAAGGACGCTAAGTTCATAAATACCACTTTCTAATCACTTTTGGAAATTGCCTATTAACTACCTTAAAGCTATTAGAGACCTTTGGAATGACAAGTTTGAAGTCTTCATCGGGTGAGTTTATCCAACTCTGAACAAAAGAAAAATTAACTATAAGCTTAAGAACTTAAAGAATTTCAAATTAACTACAAAAAGCCAAATAAGATTCTTATCTAAGAAAGTTATACATTTGGAATG